ACTGTATATATATATATATATATATATATATATATATATATATATACACACAAATTACAATAAAACAACTCTAGAAACATCCACAAATAACTACAAAATAATACATTGTACTAAATATATATACAAACACATGCAGCAATTGATATTCTGTGACAGAACAAAAGTATTTGGAGTGGCTGTCAAACATTAGTGGATCATGTTCACAGAGACCAAGCCGAATACTTTTGGAGCTCTTAAATTAAGTATCACCAGTCTTAAATGTAACATCGGGTGTCTACAAGAACTAATAACCAGCAATACACAAAACCAGACATCTGAACAAAATTAACCTCCAGTACTAGAGCATATTTTTAAAAAAGAGAAAAAAGAAGTGCAGATCAGGTCTCATACCTTCCAGCAGGTCTCGTGCCAGACCCGGTTCTGCCCCTGTGGACCGAACAAAGTCTGACAGGACCGCATCCATGTCCAGAGTCATGGGATCATGTGGCTGCGCTGCCTGCCCTGCAGCTTCACACTCTCATCTACACAAAATAAATCACAGGAATGATCATGTAAATCAATGTAGGACATCAAATAAAGGACAATACAACAACAAAAAAAGAGACTGAGCGCAAAATGCAGCATTATCAGTTCATCAAGCTATTATGTACAGTTTGATCACATTCAGATTAATCAGAGATGAATGCAGCCTGAGGAATGAGTGATATGACTGAGGAGTGACTGCATTGAAAAAAAAAATTGGTGTAGGATTTACTTTGAAACAATTTTCACTCAGAAAATGGAAGTAAACTGCACAAATAATTACAACGAAACAGCAACCCACCTAACAAACATATGTTCTAAGAACATTTTGCTAACATTCCCATTAAAATATGAAAACATTATTTCTAAATGTTTTGTTAACTTTCAAAATGTCCAGTTTTTAAAATGTTTTTAAAACATTTTTTTTCTTGGTTATATGAACATTCCATTTTATAATTGTGAAAACATTATGGAAATGTCATTTTTAATGTTCCCTGCATGTTCTCAAACAAGTACACTGTAAAAAAGTAACTACATATTTTCCAGTTTACAAAACATTTTGAGTCTCAAATATACACTCTAAAAAATGCTGGGTTAAATATAACCCAGCATTTTTTTAGTGTAAGAAATGCAGTTTCCTGAAATTACATAAAAACCTGTCAGACTAACAGAATTCATTAGCCGAAATGTTCCATGAACGTTCCATGCTAACATTTTGAGAAACACTAGATAACTTTGAAAAAACATTCTATTAACGTTACGTTTGTTCATAACTTTAAGAGAACATTGCCACAACGTTACAGTTCTGAGAGCGTTCCCTGTTAGCCTCGGAAGTAACTATAGTAAATATATAAAAACAAAATAAAGACCAAAAATATTTGGAGTGGTTGTCAATCATTAGCGGATCAAGTAACATTGAATAAACATGAAATGTTTAAGTAGAATGAATGAAGTAGTATTTTCTTGCAAAATGTACTGCAATAATCTCTGTTACATTTACTTTGAAAAATCATTTTTTAGAGTGTGTGGATCTCACAACAGCTGACAGTGAGACACCTGGATATGATTACACTGCTAGAAATACTAACAAACTCCCAAAGAGAACAGATAATGCTTGATCTGGCATAATCTGCTTTAATTTGAGAGAAGAAAGAACCAGATATATCATATTGTACTTTACTTAGTAATTAAAGGGACAGTTCACCCAAGAATGAAAAATTCTGTCATCATTTAATCACCCTCATGTTGTTGTTTTTTTCTTCTTCTAATACAATATTTTGAAGAATATTGGTAATCAAACCCCATTTTGGTTTCTGGACCCCACTGACTTCCATAGTGTTTTTTTCTTCTTCTCCATATTATGGAAGTCAATGGCTACCGACAACTCTTTGTTTACCAACATTCTTCAAAATATCTTCATTCTTCGTTTGAACATGAAAGAAGGTATTTTGAAAAATGTTGGTAACCAAACAGTTTTTGGACCCCACTGACTTCCATAGTATTTTTTTCCAAACTATGGAAGTCAATGGCTACCAGCAACCATTTGGTTACCAACATTCTTCAAAATATCTTCTTGTGTGTCCAATAGAAGAAAGAACCTCATACAGGTTTGGAACAACATGAGGGTGAGTAAATGATGAACTGTCCCTTTAAGTGGTGGTGTGTCAATAATCTGTTGCATGCATGTTTTTGGGTGTTTTCTGTCACAAGGCTGTGTGGATGAGTCACTGCGCTGGACAGCGGACACACTGGTGTGATGTTTCAACACTGTGCTGACAGTATGCGGGCTGCGTGTGGGGTTTTTCAGCTGGAACACATTGGCTGTGACATTCTGCTGAAGGCCTTTTTTGTCATTGCCTTATGAAATGTGCTGTTGTTTGATTCTGGTGAGATCAGACCGAACCCAGCTATGCTGGCTGGACGGAGGAACACCTACAGGTTCACTGCAATAACAGAGGACTGTTTATCCGTGCGCGTGTGTCGTGTGTCAGACGGCCGGACCGGCAGCCAGCAGCTTCCGAAACCATTTACGAAGCGTGACACAAAAATGAGGAATGTGAAGCTGCCCACAGTGGAGAAAAAGCTTAGCTGCCCACTACTGAGTGCAACTCACAGACCTGAAACATGCTTTAGGATGCGTTCTGAATATGGATGAGTCATGATAGTCTAATATAAGACAAAAATTGACTTGACTTGAAAAATAGTATTAATGATATAAAGATTGTATAAATTACTAAAGAAAAGAATATAAGAAAACTACTAATAAAATATTTTTTGACATTAAACTGTCAAAGACTGTAATGTTTGGGGTAGATTACTTTTAGTGTGTTACTGATTACAAATTACATGATGAAAATTTTAGTCAGTAATACTACTTTTGGATTACTTTTAGATGACTTTTAATTGAACTTCATGCTTCTAAATTTAAATGGGATTACTTTTGTTTAAAATCATGATATAAAATTTAATTAACACTAGGAAATAGACTTTAATAACAAAAATACTGGGGACAGGAATGAAATACACGCCAACATAAACGAGAAACGACAAACACTCAGGGAGAACTTATATATAATATATTTATATATCTGGAAAAGGTTAACCATTCTAATTATACGGCCTCCTTAGTAGTTCAGGTTTTTACAACCAAAGCAGTGCACATTAAGTATGTTTAAAGGGATTTCATGCTGATGATGCGCTGCTCAAACATTTACGCCTGCATTTACGTACTTGCGTGAAGTATGTTTTCGCCCACTAATCTAAACCGAAGAGCTGAGAGCGAGCTTCCAAACAATACAAAGTAATCCACTGCACTTTGAGTAAGATTACAAACCCTGGAATTACATTCTGCTACAGCCATTAGAGAAGCCTGACTAACCCTGCAGAATTAAACATCAGATTAGATCATTCACTCTCTAAGAGACACAGCACATTAACAATCCCAACTCTATGGCCTCTGATAGCAGGTGGATTCTTTTTGTGCTTTTTGATAGGTTTAATCGTAAAGCCTGATGACCTTTAGATAGCCTGTCATTAATATATAATGTGGGAAATTACAAATATATAACATACAGTATATACTTACAAACTAGTGTTATTTTAGTATCACTGAGATATTATTATAGTTTTTATGAATATTTAATTCAGTTTTTTATATTCTCCATTTTAATTTTAATTTTAGTTAATGTTTTAGTAATTTTGATGTGTGTTTTTGTAAGTTTTCTTTTTTTAAAATGTCTGTGTAGAGCTTATTTATTTTTATTTTAGTTTTAGTTATTTTAGTATATCAAGTACATCAAGTTAAATGAAATTAAACTAAATTAACCCTGATGCAAATATGTAATGCCTCAATACTCAGTGGTAAATATTCTAGGGACTTGATTTTGCTTTTGAAATGTATCTGTATTTTTCATGTTTCAATTGGTGGCTGACTAAATACTTTTTTTCCCCACTGTATATATATATATATCTGTTATGTTAAGTATAAGTATATATATTATATCAAGTCAAGTCTGCTTTATTGTCAATTCTTCCACATGTTCAGAGAATTGAAACTGCGTTACTCTCAGACCCTTGGTGCATACAGATAACACTACAGTAGAACAAATACAGATAGATACAGATTAAATACAAAATACAACTATACAAATATACAAATAAGGTAAAATGTAAAAAATAT